TGTCGCCACTTCCGTGGGCTCCTGGGAGGCCCAGCGGGGGTACGCCCCACGCGGACCACCTCGGGACCTCGCCGCCCCCTGGGAGGCTTGCGATCTGCGCAATTGTCGCCACTTTCGTGGGCTCCTGGGAGGCCCAGCCGAGGTACGTCCCACGCGGATCACTTCGGGACCTCGCGGTGGCCTGGGGGTTGCGATCTGTGCAATTGTCGCAATTTTGGTGGGCTTCTGGGAGGCCCAGCGGAGGTACGTCCCACGCGGATCACCTCGGGACCTCGCGGTGCCTTGGGGGGCTTGCGATCTGCGCAAGTGTCGCCATTTACGTGGGCCCTTGGGAGCCACAGCGGAGGCACGTGCCTCGCGGACCACCTCGGGACCTCGCCGCCCCCTGGGGGGCTTGCGATCTGCGCCATTGTCGCCACTTTCGTGGGCCCCTGGGAGGCCCAGCGGAGGCACGTGCTTCGCGGACCACCTCGGGACCTCGCCGCCCCCTGGGGGGGCTTGCGATCTGCGCAATTGTCGCCACTTTCGTGGGCTCCTGGGAGGCCCAGCGGGGGTACGTCCCACGCGGATCACCTCGGGACCTCGCCGCCCCCTGGGGGGCTTGCGATCTGCGCAATTGTCGCCAGGTACGTGCCATGAGGACCACCTCGGGACCTCGCCACCCCCTGGGGGCCTTGCGATCTGGCAATTATCGCCACTTTCGCTGGCTCCTGAGAGGCCCAGCGGAGGTATGTCCCACGCGGGCCACCTCGGGACCTCGCGGTGCCTCGGGGGCTGCGATCTGCGCACTTGTCGCCACTTTCGTGGGCTCCTGGGAGGCCCAGCGGAGGTACGTCCCACGCGGATCACCTCGGGACCTCGCGGTGCCTTGCGGGTTGCAATCTGCGAACATGTCGCCTTTTTCGTGGGCTCCTGGGAGGCCCAGCGGAAGTACGTCCCACGCGGATCACCTCGGGACCTCGCGGTGCCTTGGGGCTACGATCTGCGCAATTGTCGCCACTTTCGTGGGCTCCTGGGAGGCCCAGCGGAGGTACGTCCCACGCGGAACACTTCGGGACCTCGTGGTGCCTTGGGGGCCACGATCTGCGCAATTGTCGCCACTTTCGTGGGCTCCTGGGAGGCCCAGCGGAGGTACGTCCCACGCGGATCACCTCGGGACCTCGCGGTGTCTTGGGGGCTGCAATCTGTGCATTTGTCGCCGTTTTCGTGGGCTCCTGGGAGGCCCAGCGGAGGTACGTCCAACGCGGATCACCTCGGGACCTCGCGGTGCCTTGGGGGCTTGCGATCTGTGCAATTGTCGCAATTATCGAGGGCTCCTGGGAGGCCCAGCGGAGGTACGTCCCACGCGGATCACCTCGGGACCTCGCGGTGCCCTGGGGGCTTGCGATCTGCGCAATTGTCGCCATGTTCGTGGGCTCCTGGGAGGCCCAGCGGAGGTACGTCCCACGCGGATCACTTCGGGACCTCGCCGCCCCCTGGGGGGGGGCTTGCGATCTGCGCAATTGTCGCCACTTTCGTGGGCTCCTGGGAGGCCCAGCGGAGGTGGGTCCCACGCGGATCACCTCGGGACCTCACCGTGCCCTGGGGGCTGCGATCTGCGCAGTTGTCGCCACTTTCGTGGGCTCCTGAGAGGCCCAACGGAGGTGGGTCCCACGCGGATCACCTCGAGACCTCGCCGCCCCTTGGGGGGCTTGCGATCTGCGCAATTGTCGCCACTTTCGTGGGCTCCTGGGAGGGGAGGCCCAGCGGAGGTACGTCCAACGCGGACCACCTCGAGACCTCGCCGCCCCCTGGGGGGCTTGCGATCTGCTCAATTGTCGCCACTTTCGTGGGCTTCTGGGAGGCCCGGCGGATTTGGGTCCCACGCGGATCATCTCGGGACCTCGCCGCCCCTTGGGTTTTTTCGATCTGCGCAACTGTCGTCACTTTCGTGGGTTCCTGGGAGGCCCAGCCGAGGTGGGTCCCACGCAGATCATTCGGAGGTACGTCATACGCGTTTTCTTTCAACGCCCTTGTGTTTCCATTTTGTATCGTTGCCGTTCCTCTTTTTGCTGCGCTCTTCTGACATCACTGTTGGGTGTTCTTCTTGCGCACTGCGGGTCCTTCAGGATGCCAGTCAGCATTGAGTGGTCCTGAGTATAATCGCCACATGTCTAGAAAGGGTTGGGTACGTCAAAGGGTAAGTGTTTGAGTATTGTCCATTTTTCATTATCATATCTGTACATAGTTACGTATGCATACGTACAAGCATACGATGTGTAATTCTACACATGCATGAAGATGTATATATATATATATATATATATGTATATATATATATACATACATAACGGCGCACCGGGTCCGGGGGCCCGGGGCCGCGACCACGACCACAAATGTGTGTGCCCAGGCTCTTGGGGCGTCCCTGAGGCCCTCGAAACGCCCCAGGAACGCGCCAAGAGAACCCGAAGACGCCCCAAGACGGACCCAAGACACCCAAAGGCCGCTCCAAGATCCCAAGATGGCCCCCAAGACACCTCCAAAGGCCTCGCAGACGCTCTAAGAACCCCCCGAGAGGCCCCCCAGGACGTCCCCAAGAGGCAAACATAGCCCCATTCCCTTTGCAAGAACGTATGTGTTTAGCATATTGATTAATTTCGCTGTCGTACCGTTCTTGACGACATCAGAGGAGATCCCCAAGACCGCCCCAAGACGGCCCAAGAGGCGCCGCCGAGGGCCCCAAGATGGCCCAAAACTCTCCTGCTTGAAGAGTGCCCCAGGAGGCCCCAAGGAGCCCCCAAGAGGCCCCAGGAGGCCCCCGAGAGGCACCCAGGAGGCCCAAACGAGGTCTCGAGAGGCTACAAAACAGCCCCGAGGAGGCCCCACAACGGTCCCAAAACGGCTACCGAGAAGCTGCGAAAATGCCTTCACGACGTCCCCGGCAGGCCAACCACGAGATCCAATCCAGAGCGCTTCGAGAGGCCGACATCGTCAATGTTACGAAGGTTTTGGAGAAATTTTGGCATTCCAGCCTTTTCGGCTGTCCGACGTTCCAAGACGGCCCAACGGTATATGTATACATATAGATATATACATATATACATATGTGTGTATAGATATGTATACAAGTTTGCAGTGGCGCTTCGCACCATACACCTTGGTCCTTGAAGTTGGTATGCAAGCGGGATGGCAGGAAGGTCAAGCCGACAATTTAGCGATACTTGTTTGTTATCTTTCCCAGTATCGCTGCTAAAATGATGTTATTCGTTATCCTTCCCCCATGTGTCGGTTTCTCCGTTCTCGCCATACCCTGCGCAATTTCCCTATCCTCCTCAGCTCTTTTTGCGGAGGCTCCTCCTTGGAGAGCCTCTGGGGCCTCACAAAAGTTTAAGGCTTTCTTGAGGCCTTCTGGAAGCCTCCTGGGCGTGTTCTGGTAGTTCTGGGGGCTTGCTCGGGCCACACTGCCTCCAACCGCGGTCTCCCTGAACGACCGGGTCACGATTTGGAATGCTTCGGAGGGTGTCTTGGGGCCGTCTTGGGCCGCCATGGGGCTCTCTTAGGGCCATCTTTGACCCCTGTTGTGCCGTTTTGGGGCCCTCTTGGGCTGCCTGGAAGCCCTTTCGGATGGTTGTGGGGCGATTTTGGAGCCTCCCAGGCGGCTTCGGACGCCCAGAAGACTGCAGTATTGGAGCGTCGGGAAGCCGAAAAGAGGAAAACCCTAAAATTCATTGAAAACCCACAGAAAATCAATGATGCTTGCCTCTTGGGGCCTTCTTGGAGTGCGCTTGGAGGCTTTTTGATGCCTTTGGGGCCGTCCTGGAGGCCTCTTGGGCTATCTTGAGGTCATTTCGGTTACTCTTGGAGCGCTCTTGTGCCGTCTTGGGGGTCTCTGGGACGTCTCCGATGACCCCCCCTGATCGCCCTAGGTGTGCTGGGAAGGCTTGGCAAAACGCCCTGCGAGGCCCGGGGGCCGCTTCGAGGCCCGTCCGGAGGGTCCCAGATCCCGGGAGTCCGCTTTTTTTTTGTTTGGGGGGGGGCCCCCCGCCCGGGCTTTTAAAAATATGGGGAGAGGAGTTTACATATACACATAATATACATTACTTGTATCGGAGGCGAGGGAGTGAGATTGCAGCGAAGCGCAGAGCCCCCCACTGGGAAATCGGTTTCGGTTTCGTCATCGTGTCGTGCGTGCGGGCGAGGCGAAGCTGCGTGGGCGGGCAAAAGGAACGAACCCTCCTCTGGCTAGGGCGCCGCCGGGCCAAAATACCCCTCCCCCGCGGGTTGTCTGGCGGTGGCTGGAGGTGTCCAGTCGGTATCCCGTCGATGTCTCGTGGTGGAATCGATACTGAGACTAATTGTGAATTGGCAGTGAGAATGATATTGTGATCGATTGTGAGATCAAAGTTGGGCTCGATGGTGGGGTCGGTAGTGTGATCGATACTGAGATCGATCGTATTATCGATAGTGAGATGGGCAGTAATATCAACCGAGACAGTTCGATAGTGATATCGCTAGTGACAGATGTTGTGAGGAAGATAGTGCGATCGATAGGGATATCGATAGTGAGATTGATAGTGACATCGATACGGAGATCGATGGTGAGATCGATCGTGAGATCGATATCGAGATCCATGTTGAGATCCATCGTAATATCGATGGTGAGAGGTCGGTAGTGAGATCTATAGTAGTATTGATCGATAGTCAGATCGATCTCGGGGTCGATCATGAATCCAATCGTGAGATCGATCGTGAGATCGATAGTGATATCCATGGTGATATTGATAGTTGTGTCGGTTGTGAGATCGAGAGTGAGATGGATAGTGAGATCGATTGTGAGATCGATACCGGGATCGATAGTGATATTGATCGAATGTGATCGATCGTGAGACTGATCGTGATTTTGATTGATTGAGACGGTGGTTTTTCTCCCCGTCCGGATTCCCTTATCACGTGAAGGGTGGTCGTATATCTCCAGATCTCTCTTGTTCTCTTGGACGAGCGTTTTACAACGCAACGCCGAGGTCCCGTCCGTGATCCTCGCCCTGACGGAGATCTGCGAGTGCCCCGCCGTCATGAAGGAGGCTCGTCGTCATCGTCGTCATTTTTTAACTCCTGGTTGTGATCATCTTCGTCAAACTCGCCTTACTCTTTTCTCCTCCTCTTGCAACTTCCTTCCACTGAGGTTTGAGTAAGATGTTTTAGGTGTTGATGCGATGGTTGGGCCAGGTAGATGAGATGCTATGCACTCTCTGCGGCTTGGTACGCTGCATTCGGTGTAAGATATGGGGCATGTGCCGCGGGTGCCATCTCGATCATCGCCATCTGCATGCGGGGTGATTGCTTTAACGATTATGGGTAAGGATTATTTTATGATGATGATTGAATTGATGATGGCGAGCGTGATGGTGGCCAGTGGTATGACCAGCAGGATGAAGACTGCGATGACGAGTACCACAAAGGTGATTCGGATTACAACGATTACAGCGATCCCATCGATGAGGAGTAACAACATCACATCCTACTTAGTCAGCTGGTGATCGAGGAAAGGTATGCCCGCGGCATGTGTCACAGCAGAGCGACCTGTCGTTGCCATGGACATCGAGGGGGGGTAACCGAGTGATAGAGTGGAGTGGACGAACGGCCGATGGAATCGCCCGAATCCGGGATTCTGGTGCCCGCGAAGGCGCGCAAGATGTGGCGCTCACGAGCTGCTTTCCATCTGAACTCGGCGAGCCTGGACAATGCCCTTGGCATTGCTCGGACGTGTGCATTTCTCCTTCGGCGAGGACCATCGAGGAGCACCCTTGATCATTTGGCAAAAAAAAAAACGCACGAAACCGACCGAACCACAGGAAATGGAAGTCCGAGCGATGGCCAGATGCCCCGCCGTCCAGGAGGCTCTCCCGAGGGCTCGAGGGCGGCCCCAAGACGAGCCACGACCTGCCCAGGGCGGCCCCACGACGGCCCAGCACCGAACCGAGGCGAGCACGAGATCCCGTCGATACAGCTCGAGGCCCAGCAAGTCACCACCCACCAAACCACCCCAACCCAACCCGAAGGCTCAGATTTACCCTCCATTTCCAGTGGGGGGGAGTCGGGGAACATCGAGAAAACACGTATGGAACCCGTACCCCCCCAACCCGAAATTCGGGTCTTCGGGTTGGGTTGGGGTGGTCTGGTAGGTAGTCACCAAACGAACGCAAGTCGCCGCCACACAGGCACATGATTCGGAGGCAACTCCTGGGAAGGCAAGTTCCGATCTTGCCCTGGTCCGACATCCGGCCTGATCAGCTTCAATCTCGCCTGACCCGGTCGAATTTGATTCGTTCCGGTTTAGTCCCGCTTAATCCGCGGCTTTGTCTGGCTGAATTCTCTCTTGTCCACCCGACGAAGACCTCCCAGTAATCTCGCGGGAAGCATCGCGGCGTAGTCCCTACTCGATTAGACGGCGCGGGCTTTGTCTATAGATGAAGGGCCAGCGCCTACTGAGAAGCACCATCCCTCTAAGATGCAGTCCCCCCCCTCTCCCTGCCCCCTCGTGCGCGCCGCAAAGTCAAGTCAAGTGAACTGTGCCTGGACGGCACATCTGTGGCGGATCGCATGCGTGAGGGCACATACAGCAGCACGCCGGTGGCGACCGCGCGGAGAGCAAGGTGAAGCCAGCGTCGCCATCTCTTGCTCCAAGGCCAGGGAATATGGAATAATCCTTGCATCTTGTTCTGCCCGAACCCGCCAAAAGGCCTGCCAAGCCGCCCCATCCCGCTCCAGCCATCGCGCTCTCTGGGCGGCCCCGCCCGCCCGTCCCAGAATTCCGTCGGGCCTGTTCCATCTACAGGGGGAATATTGGGAAATAGTAAAAAAACATAGCCTGGGGGCTATTTTTCTATATGTTTGACCATTTTGGGATGTTTTTTTGGTATATTTTTCAATTTTTCGTCGAAAATTCCCCTGTAGGGGGACACGCCCGACTTAATCCCAGAAGGACAGGCAGACCCCCCCCTCCGTCCTCTTCTCCGGGGAGGGGGAGCAGCCTTCCCGTCGGGGAAAGAGTAATCCCCCGCGGCTGCGGCGGCTACGACTCGCGGCGTTTCGGCTTCTGCTGCACGTGAGGATTCGCGTGATGCCGGAAGGCGTGGCCCTGGTGACCTGTAGCTGTCCACAATTTGTGTTGAACGTGTGCCCGGCTCCCTGGCACTCTGACCCGTTTGCTTTACGTTTCCGATGCGTTGCCGATAATTCTGCGAGCTCTGATGCAATCCCGGTTTCGTGCTTGCATCATTGCTGTTCCTGACGAATGCGAACTCCATTTCCCGTCGCATGCGTTTTGAAGAAGAAAATAAACCCTCAGGGTCCGCTCGCTTCGCCCTTCTGAGGTCCCGTTCGCGCCGCCCGCCGTAGGGCCCGTCGCGAAGCCCGCATCATGACTCTTTCGCTGGAGAAGTAAGCCTTTGGCGAAGCGAGCGCTGGCGAAGTGACCTCCTGCGAAACGAGCCTCGGGCGAACTGAGCGGCGAAGCTAGGGTTGGCGAGGCGGCACTTCGGCGAAGCAAGGCTGGCCGCCCAGAGAGATCCCGAGATTTAGATTGGCATTGCGGAGGGCACATTCAGTTCCCAGCCCCATAATTCTTGTCGTTGTTCTGAACCCGTGCAGGTGATGGATTGTTTGACTGACATCGAGGGCGCTAAGAAAAAGGTGCAGGGATTCCTCAAGAAGCAGATCGCATTCATCATCAAGGCAGTGCTGTATACTTGAGGGGCTGGGCAGACCTTCGAAAACCAGGCACCATGGTGCAGCTCACGAGGATGCAGGCACAACATAAACATCATTTGGCGACATGGGTCTGCGACAAAATGGCCCCCACCCTTGCTGGTCAAATCGATGCTGGGGTATCGGACACCACCGCTAGAGTTCACCTGGACAACCCAAGCCTCTTTTTCAGAAAGTTGCCCTGCCGGGGTAGGGTCCTGACCACTTGCCCAACCCCGAACGGCTATGCCACATGTCTCTGCGCGCCGTAAGGGAACAGGCTTCGGGGCAGCCCCTCCTCTGGACAAGCCCGGCGAAGCACTCTGCGGGTATGTTTCAGTCGGGCAAGTCCCCCTACAGGACGAATACTCAGAGCTTGTAATAAAATAGTCGGGGTGCCATGTTTCGACTTTTTTTGACAATGTCGGCACACTTGCTGACTACTTGTTATTCTTCATCCCGAAGTCTCCCAGTAGGAGGACATGCCCGACCTAAAGGTATGGACATAGAACCGATTATGTTGTGGGCATGTGGCGATGAGCAGGCGAACGACGGTGCACGCGCGAGCGGGAGGGCCGGACTGGCGGGATGGAGCAGGCGAGTTGATGCAGGTGGGAAGGGACAGAGGGGAGATAGCACGCAGGGAGCAGAGGGCGGAAGAAGGGGTGGCGGGGAGGAGGACGATTTGGATGATGTGGAGGAGTGCTTTTCCACTGGGCGAGACTGACCAGTGCAGTTCCAGGGAGGTCGACCCGTTTCGAGACGACGCTGGGGTGTTCCTCCTCTGCGGGGTGACAGCATCAATATCAAGGGGATGAAGATGTTGAAGATGAGGTTTGCCACGAGGTTTGCCACGATGAAGATGTTTACCATGCTGGGTCTCGTTGAAGGAGTAGGTATCCTGTGGAGCTCAACATGTATCCTCACTCTGAGGCCAGGCCGCTCTTGCAGAGAGCTCCCCCGGGCTGGCTCAGCCCACACTCGAGACGGAGCGCAAAGGTCTGACTATGAGAGCCATGCCTTAGTGGGCCCCGGACTCGGCAGGGCCGTTTTTTCACGGTTTCCGAAACTGCCCCTTGAAAGTGCAAACGGCAAAGAAAAGGCGACCAGCAATAGCAAAAAGACGGCTCCAGGATCGGAACCTGAGCCGCGACCGGTAAACAAGTTGCGACGGAACTTGTAAAGAACGGCGTCGGAACCGTCAACAAAAACGGCAACACGGAGCCGGGAAAAAACCAGCCCTGTCGTTTCCAGGGCCCACCAAGACAATCCATGTACACGTCGAGTTTTGGCAGTGCCCGCCAGGCGAAGCAGTTATCCTTCGCCCTTGGTCGACTGCAGTCACGCGAACCCGATCGCGAGTTTGGCCCCCGCCGAGTGCGTCGAAATCGGCCCTCTGCTCGTGACCGTTGCGGATCGCTCGCGCTGCCTCCCTCACAACGCCCTCCTGGTGAAGGGCAAAGGCTCCGATTCTGGATCTCCCTCGATACTCGACCCTCCTCGATCCTCAATCCTCAATCCTCGACCCTCGATGATCAAACTCTTCGGCCATGGCCCGTCGAAGCCCGACCGACGGCGGCCTACTCCAGGCGCCTCTGGGCCGCCGCCTGGCGCCGCTCCGTGCGTGGCGCAAGCTCAGCCACCACCACTCTAGCATATTCAGTGGCCTTCGAGCAGCCAACACCACATCGCGATCGCCGTTGGCGTGCGAGGGAGCCGCACGCGGCAAGGTGTCGCACGTCTTGTGGTATTATGAGCCAACGTGATCTGAGAGCGCACCAGAGCTTTCGCGGATGTCTCAAAAAGTGTTCGATCTGACAACAGCATCTTGGAAACGAACGGAATTGCGCATGCATTCTTCCGGACAGCAGCCAACACCGCACAGAAGTCATGTCTTACATTCGAGGGTGTTCACCCACGCTTGAATCTCACCTCAATCAGTCCTGGTTCGGGGCATAGGCTGGCTCAACAGAGTGAGAACGGGTAGCTGCCCAGCGTCACGATCGTGGTTTCGTGATGCGCACTCGTGCCCGCGCTCATCGGTTCCCCACCTGGTGCTCGAGGCGCACGTTCATCCTTGATCTTGGCCAGTCCGTAATCAGCCAGCGCACGCGGTTGAGGTTGAATTCAGCAGCGCTCTGACCTTGGCCTAACAGCGACCACTCCGAAGCTTCCTTCCGTGGGTACCCTTTTCGAGGCACTGAGTTCACAGAGTATGGACGAGTTCACGAGCAGGATCGGACGTGTGAAAGCATTGGCGTTGTAACGTGATGTACTGTGTAATGCCACCTGTGCTAGCTACTCGCTGGCACAGTGCAGCAAGAGGCGAGCGAGACAACGATTTGCTGCAACGATGCTGGAAAATTATATTGACTTGGTTGGGCGGCAAGGTCTGGACGGAAAGTCAAAGGACGAGTGTGGTCGTCTATGGAGGCTTGGTTTGTTGTGAAAAAATGACGCTTGAGATCAAGGTGGCATACGCTTTGCTAGCACTGGCAGTATCCCGCCACCACCACAACATCAAGCGTATGTCTGTCGACGTGAGGTGTTTGAGTTCTGACCTGGGCGCGAATAGATTGAGCCTCGTGCCCCGCGCAATCATGAATGCTGCACAATGAAGATGCTGCCAGAGAGGTGGTCAGCAGATGTTGCCCTCCATGTTGTTTCTCTTCCATCCTCTGAACGACTCCATCGCCATGCTTGCGCGGACGGTCTCACCAGCTACGCTCGCTGATAAGCATTGCGAGTCGGACAAAGAGGGGTACGCAAAGTCGAACCGATGCCGCGAGACACATCGACTGGGACTGACAAGGCGCATGCGCGTGCGATCGGGCCCACTGGGGCCGTAGCTAGTGGGCACGAACCGTACGATGGATGTGCCGAATTGGGGATCGCATCGCGATCGCGCCTGTTGAGGCTGTTGGTAGATCTCCCAGGAATACCCAGAGGGGCCTGCGATCGCGCCCACTGAGGGCGTCGATGTGCGCCAGAGACGGGGGAGGAGAAGGAGAATGAGTATGAGAATGTGCAATCGCGAAGTGACATCGAGGAGGAGGAGGAGGAGGAGGGGATGAGAAGGAGGAGGAGGATGAGGAGGAGGAGGAGACGGTTGAAGGGGAGGAGGCGGGTGGTGAGGCGGGTGCACGTCGCAGCGAGGAGAGAACGAGGAGCCACTAACGCATGAGGGTCAGGACAAACCGCCCCAACTGCAGGCTGCACCCAGGGTCGCACCCGGAGGCTCTGGCTTGGTAGCCTCCGCCTGCTCACCACTGCTCCCCTGTCCCCCCGCCACCAGCCTTGCTCGCAGGCGCCTCGAGGGAGTGCTCTCCTCGGGCAGGGTGCGTCCCCCGGGATCTCCGGCGGGCGCTGCCCTGGCAGCAGTCTGGTGCCAGGTCGTGCCGTGGCGCGTGCGTGCGTGCGCGGAACGTTCTGTGAATGAAAGCCGCGCGCGGCCCGCGGAGCTTCGACCGGAGGAGGTGCGCCCTCGGCCCGCGGATCAAAGACGCGTGTGTGTGTGTGTGTGTGTGTGTGTGTGTGTGTGTGTGTGTGTGTGTGTGTGTGTGTGTGTGTGTGTGTGTGCGGAACGGCACGGAGGTCGGCCACGATGTGCTGCCAAGGCTGCACCAAGGCCCACCCTGGCAGAGGCACGCGGGCGTGCCGTCGTGCGCCCCTACGGGGTCGTGGGCCGCCCCGCGGGGGGAGGCAGGCGGCGGGGCCGCCGAGGCGCAGGGGATCCGAAACAGAAGGGCCGCAGCGCGCGAAGAGGGCGAGGCTCACGCCTCGCCTCTCGCCCTCGTCCCAGTTCCCCCCACGCCCTCTTTCGGCGCACGATCCTTGGCATCGCTTGGGCGAGTGCTTTTTTCCTTCGGCGAGGACCATCGAGGAGCATCCTTGATCATTTGCCGAAAAAACACGCACGAAACCGAACAAAGCACAGTGAACGGACGTCCGAGCGATGCCGAGGATCCCATCCAGCGATCGTATACCCCCTCCCTGCATGACGAGGCGTTGTCTGTGGCGCTCTTGCTCGTGGTTTCGGGCGTGTGTCGGGTGGCCACGGCCTTCCATGAGCACGTCGGGAGTTGATGTTTCGCCATTCGCTACAGTCGGGGCGTTGACCTAAGGAACCCTAAATAAGGAACGAGGCCCCCTTTTTTCCATAAGTTAAACTTCGATTCCCGATCGAAAACATAAGGAACACCTGAGGCAAGCTGTGAAACATTTAAGGAACGCGGAGCCCCTCCCCAACCAAAAGGGTTCCTTCTTCAGTGCCCCGACTGCATGTGTTTTGCTTCCCGGTAAGTGGGCGATGGGCCCCTGTCTGCAGCAAGGTCATCCAGCAGTTGTTGTCGGAGTTCGGCGCTGGCAAGATGAATCCCAAGCTGGGGTACGTCGGTACCACCATGAAGTACGTCTCGGACAGCGACAGGGACCGCCAGGGTGGGGTCTACTGGCCCAGTGTACGATGTCGCATGGGATCGACCTCGCACGCATACTCAGGACGCTTGAAGGGCCAACGAAGGCCCTCCGAGCGGCCCTCGACAGGCCCAACTGAGCCCCCAGACGACCCCAGTGGAGAAAGAGTATTGTCTCGGCTGGCCTCCTTGAGTTCTGTTGGGCAAGTCTTTGGGCCTCATTCCGGTCTTTTCCGTCCCGCGCTTTCTTTTGGGATTCCGTTTGGGCAGTCCAACGTGCCGTTAGCAAGTTGAACCGCCGAAGGTTGTCATATAGATGTTCGGAATTCTTTTTTGCTGATGCATACAATGTTAGCTTGCACACACATGATACGTCATGGACATCCTTCAGCTTCTGAGAAGGTGGTGCGCGTGTGATATTCAATGTTCGACGTACATTTCGATCAGCACATCGTTTACACTCAATTGTTCATGTCGGCTTGCAGTTCCCACGGACCAGCCACGGGCCAATCCGCGGGACAACCACTTGGACCACCACGGGGCAACCCATCGTGCAACATTGGGACAACCAACCAGACATTACACGGAACAACCACTGGACAGCTCACCAAACAACCCACGGGACATTCTTGGAGCAAGCACGCGACAATCCGTGGGCCACCCACGGGACAACCACGGGACAACCATTGGACAACCCACATGACGTCCATGTGAGTCCGACCGTGCAGCCACGGGGCAACCCGGAGGACCACCACGGGACAACCACAGGATTGCCACGGCAAACCACGGCGAAACGCACGGAGACGTTTGTGCCAGCTCCGCCCGCACGTCGTCGAGCCCGCGCAGCTTCGCCCCACCCGCACGCACGACTCGGTCCGGAACCAAGACCGATGTATCCTCTCGGGCGGGTGGTAATGGAGTTATCTTACGTAGAAATAAAGAAAGGGGGGCCGATGTAGAAGTACAAAGCCTATGCAGAAGTACAATGTAGAAGTACCGAACCGATGCAGAAATAAGAAAGGCCCCAGAGGGGCACTGCAGGGCACCTCTTGGGCCCCTGGCTGGCTCTGACCAGGGCCCTGGAGTGTGCTCTGAGGGCCCTGCTCTTCGCCCCGCGCCTGGGCCACCCCCCCAGCACCGCCCGCCCCTCCCCCGTGCTTGGCATCGCGCGGGCGCGCGCACCTTTTCCTCGGCGAGGGCCGTCGAGGAGCCCCCATGGGCCCCCTCGCGACGGAGAGGTTCGCGCACGAGGCCGTGGACAATGTCACGGGGAACGTCAGGAGAGGAAAAAACACACAGACACAAGTAATCGTCGACTCCCAGGAAAATACAGGAAGTGGGGGGGCAGACAGGAACCCCCAAAATATGAGAGCATATGGGGAATCCTCGGATTTGTGTGTATTTATTTGTGTGTCCTTGGGCCCCTTGAGGGGCGTCCGAGCGGCGGCGAGCGCCCGCGGGGTCCCCTCGTGCGTTCGCGCTCCCAGCTGCCCGGCCCTCCCGCGGAGCGGTGCCGCGGTGCACGGCGCGTGCCTCGGGGCCGTGCCCTCCGCTTCCGAAGAGGTGCGACCCTGTGTTTCCTTACTCCTGGATGTTTTTGATTCTTGCGATTGCAATTATTATTATCATCATTCGTATAAGTATTGTTATAATGATGATGATGATGATGATGATGATGATGATGATGATGATGATGATGATGATGATGCTGATAATGATGATGATGATGATGATGATGATGATGATGATGATGATGATGCTGATGATGATGATGATGATGATGCTGATGCTGATGCTGATGCTGATGATGATGATTATGATGATGATGATGATGATGAGGATGAGGATGATGATGATGATGCTGATGATGATGATGATGCTGATGATGATGATGATGATGATGATGATGAAGATGATGATCACGATCACGATGATGATCACGAAAATCATGATGATGATCAGTATTATTGTTATGACCAGGGGGCGGATTATTGTAACCTTCTGGCTGAGCCTGCCCAGTCCCGCCCCCTCCATCCTCCTCCCCCTCCTTGTCCTCCTCTTCGTCCTCCAAACTTCCTTCTGCCCGTTCCGATAGGAGGTGCCCAACCCCCCGGAGGATACAGGGGGGGGGGGCGATTATTCTCCCCATCCAACGTAGTTGTGGTTCTAGGCTAAAGTCGGGCATGTTCTTCTACAGGAGGAATATTCAGAAGTAGTCAAACAATAGTTTGCAAGAGTTTTTAATTTTCGGCTCGTTGATATTTTCACCGCAAAAGTTCATTCGTGCTCATCGCTCTCATGGCCTCCGGCCGTGCACCCCTTGCACTCGCTGTTGCGAAACGCTGCCGAGCTTCATCACCGCTTTGGCTCAGCATAGAGACGGACGAGTCAAATGCTCGCAGCGCCGACTGGTGCAGCCCTGCGCCAGGCGCAAAGAAGGTGCACCCGACCGCGATGGCAATGAGGAGCGCATGCCAACAGAGCCACAGCATTTACCAAGAAGGCGGTCTGCGAACGCGGCTACCTGCTCCTGCGCTGCGCTCGTGGCTTCGTAGCGACAGCCTTCATCCTGCGATGCTGGCGACTCCTCCTTGGCGCGCGCCGCGTCTTCTCCCCATGGTACCAGGCCGGGTTTTCTCAATGCCAGGGAAGCGCTGCGCCTGGTGTGGCGCAGGTGGCACCAAGCAAGCGCGCGGGTTACATGGGCAAGCGACCGAGCCAGTGACGTTGCCTGGGTGCCAGCGTGCTCTTCACGCTGCCTGCTTGCGAGCGTGCAGTGAGGCAGCGCCAGAGCAACGCGTCGTGCTCGACAGGCGTCGTGCTCCTCAGTACGCCAGGGACCTCCGCAGGCTGGCGCTTGCGTCATATGACAGCAGACGCGCTGGAGCCTGCCATTCGCGCGCTCGCGACTGCACACCACCATCGGCCACGTTTGTGCCGTAGGCGGCCCAATGGGGCAGCATCGCGCTACAGGTTCGCAGGCATCCACCGCGTCTCGGCTGCCCTGACGGCGCGTGTTGAACGACGGCGCGCGCGCCTTCGCCCGAGAGTAAAGCTACTGCGCCCAGGTCACAGCACCAACGGATGTGCATGCGCAGAGCGACGCGTGCATCATGCAGATTGCCATTCTCTTCCTCCCTGGCGCACCTTACGCTTTCAAAGTGGACCCCGACGACACACTTGCCGACATCGAGGAGGCCCTGCGCGAGGAATACTGGAAAGCGCTCGACGACGGCGGGCCGCTCGACGGCGTCCCCCTGGTGCTGCTCTGCTTGGCCTTCGGTGGATCTCCGTTGGCCGATGCGGTTTTTCTGCGCCAGCACGGCCTCAGGGCGCCGTGCCCGAGGCGGCCGTGAACGGCGCCGCCGGCGCAGCTAGTTGCAACAGCGAGGTCGAGCGCCGTGGGCGCGCGGCGGGGCAGCATGCGCCACCAAGCCCCAGCAGTCGGAGCCGCCGCCGAAGCCGCAGTGGCAGTAGGTCCAGGCAGTTCACGGACCGGCACCCGGCGCTCTATCGCAGCACATTGGAATCGGGCGTTCTGTCTGCCCCAGGGCCGGTGCTGGTTGATTGTTGGAGCGAACGCTCACGGCGAGCACCTAGACAGCGGACGCTCCTACAGGACGCGCCGAGAGTTGCAATCATCGGCCAGGCCGGCCGCCAGGTCTGCATGTAGGACCTCTGCGCAGCCAACGAGCAGGTCAACGGCAACGAGGACGCAGACCGCTCGCGCCACCTCGGGCGCCGAGCGAACAGTGCGCGACGTCTCGCTTGTGGACGAGATTGATACATTCATAAGTTCCAGGCCCACAGGAGCCGCGGCCTCTCTTCCACATGCCCTCATGCAGCCGCGGCGCTTTCGCCGCCCAATGAAGTGTGCCATTTCGTCTGGGGCTCGTAAGCTGGCGCGCCGCCTGCGCGGGGTGCTGCTTTGCGCGCGTTGCCCACGCTGGGAGACAGGCGTGCGCCATGGCTGCGGCTTCGCGCGGCGCCGATGGTCACGCAGCTCTGCGTAGTTTCTCCTCCACACATGGTACAATGTGCTCCAAAGTTTTTGACGGCGCGCGCAACCGGCCACTGCCGCGCGCGCGTCGGCACGCAGCGCCAGCGGCGCAACTGACCGGGGGGCGTCTCATCGCAAGCCCGGCAGGAGAGCCTTGCAGCAACGACCGCGAAGCGATGCCCCACAATTGGTCCTAACATATTGCCTAAAGCTTCGCCTGCGCGCAAGCCGAACATGGGCGCGGCGCGCCTCCCCCAATGGGCAGCGCGGCCGCGCCAGCTGCGCGGGCGCGGCGCTGCTGTCTCCGCCGGTGCGACACCGACGCTGCCATCTCCCTTGCAAATCGCGAGCGCGTCGTCGCTGTAGACTTAGTCGACGCCCTGGGCCAGCTGATCTCTCGCGGGGCTGCTGTCTCCGCCAGAAGAGGGAGATGTCGAGGCGCCGCCGCCTAGCCATGACGCGTGGAAAGCGCGCGCCAGGCGAGCGTCTTGCGACTGTAGCCCCCGCGCCCCCCCGCCCACTGCGCGAGCGGGGCCCGGGCGAGGTCCCGGGCCCAGGGTCCGCAGACCAAGCGGGGAGCTGAAATTGAACATTCCGAGGCGAATTGAACAGCGATTTGCGGGCGCGGCCGCAGCGACCAGGACCGCCCGACTCTGGCAAGTTCCAAGGAAATGTTTCTTCGGACTTTCCGGTCGGGCCCGCGGGCCCGGGGCCCGGGGCTCATGCGCGCGCCATGTGTGCAGGAGACGCGCGACTGCGTTGTCCGCGCAATTCTTCGCTGGTTGTTTTTCTTCGGCGGACGCCGCTCGCTGCGGCGTCGCCCTTCGCGGCCCGATCGGCGGGGCATGCTCGCGGTTGCCGAATTTTCCGCAGTCGACGCTGTTTACGCGCATCTTCTCCCCTGGGCGACGCCCCTCTGCGTCGGCCCAGCTAGCTCGTGCGAGATCCTCTTCGCAACTGCCGTCGTGGTTGGTTCCGTCGAGGTCCTGGAGGCCCCTGATCACGGAGCCCAGAG